TGGGGAATTGGGGAAGGGGAACAGCCAAGTTGTTGTTCTTCAGTCTTAGTTGTGGAGGGTGCAGCTAGCTCAGCTCCAAGTCCAGTCATCCGGCCGCCTGTCGGCAGCTTGCAGCTGTTCAGCTCAAGCTGCCGTGTTCAATCTTAGTTGCAGGTGGGCGTAGCCCACCATCCCATGCGGGAGTCGAACTGGAAACCTTGTTACTAAGAGCCCATGCTCTAACCACTGAGCCACCCGACTGCCCATTGGCAGCTCAGGGCAGCTCAGCGTGCTGTGTTCAATCTTAGTTGTGGATGGGTGTAGCCCACCATCCCATGCGGAAGTTGAATTGGCAACTTTATTGTTAGGAGCACATGCTCTCACCAGCTGAGCCATCCTACCACCTGTTGGCAGCTCAGTGGCAGCTCAGCTCGTGCGCAGCTCACTGGCCCATGTGGGAATCGAACCGGGACCCTGTTGCTCAGAGCTCATGCTCTTAACCAACTGAGCCACTCAGCTGGCCTCCTGCATTTTCCATTTCAGTTATTCTTTACTACTGACTGGCTCTTTTCTATGGTTTCTCTGTCCATTTTTATGCCTGCTGTCTCTTTGTTGAAGCTCTTCTAAGTTCCTTGAACGTCCTTATAACCAGTGTTTTGAACTCTGTCTCTGGCAGGTTGTTTGAGTCCATTTTGTTTAGTTCTTTCTCTGGAGTTTTTCCTGTTCTTTCATTTGGGATGTATTTCTTTGTTTCCTCATTTAGGCTGCCTCTCTATGTTTTTTTTTCTATGTATTAGTTAGATCTGCTGTGTCTCCCAGTCTTGCCAGGTGGCCTTAGGTAGGAGGTACCCTGTGGGGCCTAGTGGCACACTCCCTGGTCACCTGTGCTGGGTGCTCCAGGAGTGTCCCTTGTGTGGGTTGTGTGTGCCTTCCTGTGTGAGCATTGATTGCTATTGACACATCAGTGGGTGGGATTGAACCTCGGAGCGATTGATTGTGAGGACTGGTCATGATTACAGTAGAGGAGCTGTTGTGCAGGGGCTGACCCTATAGAGTAGGATTCACTTTAGCAGGGCTGACTGGCTGTGGGGTTTGGCCACATCCATAGCTTACTGGCTGCTGTGCGGAGGGCTTAGTTCACAGAGCAGAATTTGCCCCAGCGGGCTCTGATGCCTGTTGAGACAGCCCTGTGAGTGTGCCACTTAATGGGGCTAATTGGGTGGTATTCTGCTGTGGTCTGAAGCCAAACTCCAAGTATGTTGGTTCTGGGGGCTCTTGGAAGGGGCCCTGGTTCTGGTACATGTCAGCCACTGCTTGTGACTGGCCAAAGACTACCTGGTAGGTGCTACAAAATGGTCCATGGTTAGTCGCTGCCTGTGCTGGACCTGGAGATGCGTGGGAGAGGCCACGCTGTGAACTGAAATGGCTGGCACTAGTACTGGAGCTGGGGTAGCTCCATAAAAAGCCAGGACAAGGGCCAGCTGAGTGGCTCATTGGTTAAGAGCTCACTCAAGAGTGTGAGCTCTGAGCAACAGGGTCACTGGTTCGATTCACGGCTCAAGCTGAGCTGCCACTGAGCTGCCAACCGGTGGCAGCATGGCTCAGCTAAAAAAAAAAAATCCAGGACACTCCTAGACCTCTTGCCAGCTGCTGCTTTCTGTAAGGTTCAGCCACTGATAAATACTTCTGCGGTAAGGAGTTGGGTGTGGTGGGGTCTCAGTGAGTTGCCAGGGTGAAGGGAGCTGAGCTCACCGGACCAGTTCAGATTCAGATTTGGCCATGGGTGTGGAGGGAGGGCTCAACACAGGAAAGATTGTGCCCTCCTCCTGGCTGCACGGGAGAAGGACCCCCTATAGGGAAAATGGTAACTATCTCCCTTTAGTCCTCACCCTGAAGATACACAATTTAGTTTTTCCCTCTATATCTCTGGTGCCCCCTCAGTCACTCTCCCTCTGCTGGAGCCCAGGGTGAGTACCTGCGAGCGAGTCTGTGCACGGACCCTTTAAGGGGACGTCTGGATTTTTCCCACAGCCTTCCATCCTACTGGGACATTTGGAATCCCCACTTTTTAACAGCCAGATATTGTGGGGGCTACTTTTCCCAGCACCAGTATTCCAGGCTGAGGAGCCTGTTTTGGGGCTGAGGTTCTCCGCTCCATTGTGGGAACCTCTGTGACTGAGATATACTTCCTGATTTTCAACCACAACATGGAGGTTTGGAGCCAGCCCTTTTCTTGTCTACACCCCTCCTATTCGTCTGGACGTGGCTTCTTCTTTATATCCTTAGTTATAAAACTTCTGTTCAGCTAGCCTTCAGGTGGTTTTCCAGGTTGATTGTACTATAATTTAGTTGTAATTTTTATATTCTTGGGATGAGGCAAGCACAGCATTTATCTACTCTGTCATCTTGGATCTCCACTTACAGGATAAGTTTTATAACTTGTTCTTTGTTTATCATGAGTGATGATGGACATTTTGTTCTAAGTTTATTTATTTTGTACATTGTTCGCTTCCTTTATTCCATTAGCTTTTTCATTGTTATTTATTTTAAATTTTTTTGCCAGTTTGTATGGGCTTTTATGCTGTGACCACTTTCTCATTTTTCTTACAAATATTTTTGCTTTTTATTTTGATTTTGACAGACTTTTCTTTTAGATTACTGGCTTTTAATTTTTGATTTGCAAACAAATTCTTTGAAATTGCCACCTTATCTTAAGAACATTTTTTCATACCTTTATAGCTGTCTACCTATTTACTACTGTTATGACTATTTAGCTAATTAATGGTCATTTTACATATCATATGTATCATATCTGTCTTAATGAGGCCTTGAATTGACTTTTTCCCAAAAAGTTTTACAAAATTGCCATAGTTTTGTATTGCTTTCTTGTGTGGGGAGANTTCAGTCTAGTTGTGGAGGACATCGCTTCACTGGCCCATGTTGATATTGTGATCATTGCGGTCTTCCCGGCTGAGGCAGATCAGTCGCCAGCCATTGGATGGCGGCTCACAGCAGCTCACACCAGCTGCTGACCCTTCACGCTGGCTGCTGGCCACTCACGGTAGCTCACGGCAGCCCACTGCAGACCCACTGCAGCCTACACCGTCACCGGTGACTCACGGCAGCCCAGCTCCAGGTTGAGCTGTTGTTCACCATCTTAGCTGTAGAGGGCGCAGCGTCACTGGCCCATGTGGGATCCCAACCGGCAGCCCTGCTGCTCAGAGCTTGCGCTCCCAAGCCAAGTTTTAACCAGCAAGCCACTTGGCCAGCCCTATATTCAGTCATTGTCTAGAACAGAGGTAAAGCAGAAATGAAGTTCTGAGAGGGAGATATTTGATCTGAGATGCTCAGGACTAGAGAACACTTTAGAGCAGCACTGTGCAAAAGAATTATAACGTGAGCCACATATATAATTTAAAATTTTCCAGTAGTCACATAAAAGTAATATAGAATTAGTGCCTTCTTCGTGCAGTAGGCAGCATGTCAGTCTCATAAAAAGTATAGAGTAATATGCAAGACATACGATCTTAAACTTTTTAGTAACATTTAAGAAAGTAAAAAGAAATGTGCAATTCATTTTAATCTTTTATTTAACCCAATATAGCTAAAATATTAATCATTTCAAAGTGTAATCAAGATAAAAATTATTGAGATATTTTACGTTCTTTTTCTTTCAGAAGTCATCAGTATCTGGTGTGTATTTTATATTTAACAGCACATCTAAATATGGACTAGCCACAATTCAACTGCTCAGTAACCACATGTGTCTAAGCTAGCATATTGGACATTGCAGCTTTAGAGATTTTGTGTAATCTAATTTCTCAACATAATTTAATATATTTAAAAGTATAGAAATATCTAAATATAATCATTAAGTCTAAGATATTTATAAAATGGACTATTACGTAGTAAAGCAAAAACATTCAATAAAGGATTTATTACAATGAAAAATGCTAATGAGAGGGCCAGCTGAGTGGCTCAGTTGATTAAGAGCTCGCTCAAGAGTGCAAGCTCTGAGCAACAGCAGTTTGATGCCCGGTCCGAGCTCAGCTACCGCTGAGCTGCCAACAGGTGGCAGGATGGCTCAGCTAAAAAAAAAAAAATGCTAATGATAGAACATAATGATGAAGTTAGGGAATTGGGGGAGGGAACAGCGTTGGGGCATTGGGGAATCGGGGAAGGGGAACAGACAAGTTGCTGTCCTTTTGTTCTACAGGCTAGTTGTGGAGGACGTCGCTTCACTGGCCCATGTTGGTATTATCATTGCGCTCTTCCTGGGTGAGGCAGTTACTTGCTGGCCATTGGACGGCTGCTCACAGCGGCTCACGGCAGCTGCTGGCCAGCCCCACTGCAGCCTACGCTGTTGCCAGCGACTCACAGCAGCCCAGCTCCAGGTTGAGCTGTTGTTCACCATCTTAGCTGTAGAGGGCACAGTGTCACTGGCCCTCATGTGGAATCCGAACAGGGGCCCTGCTGCTCAGAGCTGGGACCCAAGCCAACGCTTAACCAACGTGCCACTCAGCCATCCCTGGAAGAAATTCTTTAATTTTATACAAGCTCTACTTTTTAAAAATAGAGATTCTATGGTTCATTTGGGGAAAATAATTCCATCAGTTTTGGGGTTTTTTTTCTAATCCTTAAAGGAAAAGAGGTATAGTAAATCACATTGAGAATTCTTTTAGGCCCATTGCCAACAGTGTTCTCATGAACACTATTTCAGTTAACCGGGAAATTCTGATAATTACCTGAATATGTATAAAATTAGGTATCCCACAGTACAGAGGCAGTTTTGTCTATAGCAGTGGTGGGCAAACAGACTATAGCTTGTAAGCCAGTTTGACCCATGGCCTGTTTTTGTATAGCCTATGACCTAATTAATTTTGAAAGAATTGCTTAAAAAGAGAAGGGAAAATGGAAGGAAATGTAACAGAGACCATATGTAGCATGCAAAGCCTAAAATAAATATTTCTGGCCCTTTACAGAAATAATTTTATAAATAATACATGCGTTTGTCATTTCAGGATTTGGTGATGTTCAGAGATGTGGCTGTAGACTTTTCTCAAGAAGAGTGGGAATGCCTGAACTCATATCAGAGGAATTTGTACAGAGATGTGATATTAGAGAACTATAGCAACTTGGTGTCAGTGGGTAAGCTTATCTGTGTCAAATAATTTAGAAATCCACAGGACTGAATTTCAGGGCTATCTTTCTAAAAATTAGCTGAATATCTGCTTTGTAATTTGGGAACAGGCACCTTCAGCTACTAAGCTGTATAATAGCACCTTCAACGTCCTCCATAA